TGATCTTCAAATTAAGACTTTATGGCACCTTAAAGAACTTGAACTTGAACTAGCAATCATAGGCACATTACTCATTTAGGATTTATGTGATTCATTTAATGATTGAGTAGAGCTTCATTCCTAATGGTCACAAATGAATCATCAATGACATTATATTCAATGTGCATCAATCGTATAATTGCTCTTATTCCTAGAATTAAGGAAAATCCTAATAAGAACGGTAAAAGCTTATTAACAAAAAATGTCCAACTTTATTTACCAATCACGAATGATATATATTGATCGGATAAAAAATTGCGTGTTACTACAATTGAACCATAAAGTATACAACTATGATATCTTGTATGATCATGGAACTTTAGATTATTATGGCGAATAGTTAAATTAAAATATCTTAGGCAAAAGACCGCTCGAATGGCATCAAACCAATAGCTTCATCCTTTTTTGGAAAAAAATAAAATAAAATAGAGAAAGATAAAAAAAAAAAACTAAAAAGGAAAGGAAAAGGAATAAATTATTTTCTGTACCTAGCGTTCATTAGCCATATAAACGCGCCACAACCAATCAAGTTGGTAGAAACATATTTGGAGAGTCAAACCATTCTTTATTTTGAAAAATTACGATAGAAATTCTTTTGAAACTTATCTTTAAGCATTGATTATTTTAAATAGAGAGAATTTTGTATTTAGAGGATCTCTTGAAAATATTCTTAGACCGGAAAGCATCTGTAATAAAGGTGCAAAAACACAAAGGTAAATAATAATAAATTTGGAATGAAATGGACGAAGCAATTAGAGGTAATGGTATTCTCCCAAATGCAGTTACCAACTATTCAAGAGGAATGTCATATGCAGTTACAGCTACTACTGTAATTGTGTTATGTTGCTTCTTTGGTTCAATCTCATTCTAAAGTATGCGACCTGGGAGGATTTGCATCATCAATAAGAACATTGAGTCTGATATGCACCGAAAATACCAATGACTGATAAGTGTATTTTGTACACTTATTTGGATTTAAAAATATAGGCATTTAATAATATTTCATTTACTAGGTGAAACTCGATGGATAGAAGTGGAATTGAAAGAAAGAAGAAAAATTGATAAAAGGGGGCAAGATTCAAAGTTTGGGGACTAAAGTGTAAATACTCAAAAATTGTGTCGAACCTCACGATGAAGATTCGATAATGCTATGGTCAATTGGATGCAATTAGACGTCAAAAGAAATGAAATATGACCAAAATATTTTTACAAATCAATTTTAAACCGCACCAGGACGCTCCATATTTTTAGCTCAAGATTGAAACCCAATTTTGACCTAATAAACATTTGAATTGCAAAAAGGATATTAAGTAATTTTGTATCCGTTTGAGTTATCTTTATAACCCAACTTGAATTGTCTTAATCGGATCTCGGAAGATAAAGTTATGATAAAAATACAAAAGGAAGTGCAATATGATTTTCTACCTGAAAGGTGGTGCGCTGCCTCGGCTACAAGAACTTCTCTAGAGATCGAAGAAGAGCTAGGAGTAAGCTTCCTCACTCAATGTGTTTTGACCCATTTTGAAGTCCATAAAATCCTAATTTTTACACTAACGAGGAGGCTATTATAAATACAAGTTTTCACACTTTTAAAGGGGATTCCATACATTGAGAGGGGGGGGGGGGGGGGGGGGGGGGGGGGGGGGGGGGGGGGGGGGGGGGGGGGGGGGGGGGGGGGGGGGGGGGGGGGGGGGGGGGGGGGGGGGGGGGGAAACACAACTTAAGGATTGAGAGCAAATTCAAGATGAGAAATACAACAATTCAAGGGTTTGAAATTAAGATTTGGAACTAGAAAGAGAACTTGGTGTAAGATTCATCTACTCCTCTACATCTAAATTATAACCCGGTGATGGACTCCACTATTGTTATTTGCTTTTCTTTCTCTATTATGAATAACCAAAATTCTTGTTAGGGCGAACAATGTAATCTACTTGGAATCCTTTACATCTTTTATTTAATATTCTTGTTCTTTGTTCGTTTATTGTTGATTTTACTATGAGTTTAATACAATGAATTACTTGATCACTAATTGATGATTTTGTGAATCTTTTACAAATCGAGAGGTGGGTTTAAGATTTAGACCATATAGTAAAATTTGGTAAATTAATATAATGTGTAGAAATACTTATACTGATTATTGTGATCATAAATGAATTCTTGGAACAAAGATTTCGTTTAACTAAGTTAGATTTGTATAGAGATATGGAATTGAATTAGTTAAATAGGTTCAATGAGAACTCGAAATAAATAAATTGAATATAATAGGAAAATTCGAGTCAGCACTACATTAGATATGAATCTTGATTTAAAATGTAAATGTGTTTAATAGGTGAAATTATCCTGTCCTAATATTTGTTCATTATTTAATCTCTAAACCAATGTTTGTGTGCATCCACGTAGTGTTACGCATTCAAATTAAAATTCCAAACATACAAATCTTTATTAGCTTTTGTCGAATAGTAGCTAGAAAGAAAGTAGATTAAGCTTTAAAGTATAGTTCTCATGGGAAGGATAACCCGAACTCATAGGTCCACTTACCACTTATTCGATATCATGCACTTGCGATAGTAAAAACGCAACAATGACCCATAGGTATAAAAAATTTCGATTGACCCAATTCACAAAATAATATGATGATTCAATTAATTAAATCAAAATAAGGAAAATTATTGATGCACTTTACTAAAGCAATGTACAGGCAAGAAGAGACCCATTTTATGTAAATATTTTAAATTAATTAAATGAAATTAATGTATCTTGAATCTACCACAACCAATTATTGAAGGTATTTATACTATGAATTATATCAAATTAACCAAATCAAATGAAAACCTGACTACATCTCTATTTGTGAATCTGTGATAATGTTGAAGTTGAGAAGGCAAGATGAAGATGCCAGAATTTTACCTTCTTCTTCTTCGGAACGATGACACTGGCAGAGACAATGATAAGAGATTAATTTCCTTTTTTCTTCTTGCTTTTCTTTTCTTGTCTTATGAAATTTTTTGGAGTTTTGGTAAAAGATGGCCAAGAGGCTTAGATGATAGAGATACGATTTGAGAAAGAATTAGGTATGAATTTTCATTATTTTATTTTTGAAGTTAAAAACATAAAAATCAGAATCTTAAAATGAAAAAAAAAAAAAGGTATCAACGGGTTGAGTAGATTAATTAGTGAGTTGGTTGCTTAAATCATAGTCAACCAATTCCAACTTTTTAATAGTTAAAAAATAATTGAATCAATAGAATTTTATGTTCAAATCTATCCAAATAGACCAAACTCGGTTCAACTCGATCGATTTTAATCCCTTTTTCATTTTTTTGGGCCTACCCTAAACAAAGGGTTAATAAAAAGTTTATCTTTATTAGTCAATTCTTCTCAATCTTTTTTTTTTTTTTTTTTTTTTTAACGAGGTGTTCCAACTTGCGCCAGACTATATCCTCGTCCCTGAACCTCCGGCCCCTCAGCAGCTCAGGGAGGTAAATCGCGGGATGTGCCATTGTTGGTTCCCAGGTTCCCACACGGCTTTTACTCCTTCCCCAAAGGGAGCCTTCCTCCATAGTGGTTAATCCACCAATAATTCCTCCTTTATTGGATCAAAGGTTCCCACCAGAAATCGAACTCCCCGACTAGAGACACCTTGAATTGGCCTGGTCCTAAAATATTGTTACAATAAAATAATAATAATCAAATAATAGTAATATTAATAATGGAAAATTGCAACGGGGTTCCAAACCTTTTAATTTGTTACAGATTATACCCACACCTTTTTTTATTTTTGCACCCAAGATCCAAAATCTTTTACTTTGATTGCAATTAGAGGACAACAGATAGAATCCGTCCATTAATCTGTTAGTCAACTTAAAAATTAAAAGTTTGAATCAACGTGACAAATTAAGTGAAGGGGTAAAGTGGTAAATTTTCATATTTTTATAATAATAAAAAAAAAATAATGAACTGTTGATATTCTCCAAACCTCCAACTTCCAAAATCAAAACCAGAAAACTCAGTCATCCCCTACCATTGCCAACCATCCACAAAGCGTCGCACCATAAACCGCAACCACTGTCGATATTGAAATCGAAAATAATAATCTTCAGGCATGATGGTCTCCAAATTAGTGTAGTTGTTGAAAGTATAAACAACGAACTTGTTCTCAATGGAACCCTTCTGTATAGCCCGAGAAGAATAATTCCTTCTTCCCATGGAACCCTCTTCACCCTCCAACCGATTGCTCTAGCCTATATAGGCAAATCCACATTGGTTTTGAGTGATATTGTTTGTGTTGTTTGAGATTGGGGATGACAATGGTCGTGGTGGGCATTGCGGCGCTGTGTAGATGGGTCGTGACAGTAGGCGATGATGGGGTTTCTGATTTTTAGTTTTAGGGATTGGTGGGGGATTTGGAAAAATTGAATAGTTATTTATTTTATTATAGAAAATATAAATTTGCCATTTTATCCTTCACTTAAAATTTTCAAGTTGAGTCAAACTTTTAATTTTTGGGTTCACTGACGGATTAATGAAAAGATTCTGTCCATTGTCTAGGGTTGCAAGTCGAAGTGAAAAGTTTGAAACCATGGATGCAAAAATAAAATATTTGAGTATAGTTTACAATAAATTGAGGGGTCGTTTGTTCCACATTTTTCCAACAAAAATGCATTTTAACATCACATCATGGGTCCTACCTTAAAGTGTTGAAATCAAATATTGTAGGCTGATTTGATAAAAAAATATATTATTTTCCCAAATAATGTGCACGAAACGGGGGCTGAGTGCTTGTTTGGTTTAGATTTTAAATCAATTAAAATCAATTTTTTTATTATTATTTCACATTCAACTGTTATTTTTAAATTTTTCTTTTACAGATATAACCCACTTTATCTTTAATTGTCAAAAAATCAATTTTTAAAATCCCTATCAAACGAAATCTAAATGGTTTGAGACGCAGCACTTTTTAATAATATAATAATAATAATAATGTAGTTAGGCATGAATGATGAGAAATTAACCAGAGCTGCAGAGCATATACGTGTTCAAAGATAACTTGAGAGAGACGAAATCCTGTAGTTCCGATTTGATCAGAATACCATACTTCGACTGTATATTCGAATGGCGACGGTGGCGATAGAAACTCGGCAGGCGGATGAGGCGAAGAACCACCACCACCAAAGCGCGTCGGGCGGCGGAGAAGGGCTTCGGCAATACTATCAGCAACGTATACAGGATCTGCAGCTACTAGTCCGCCAGAGAGACAACGATCTTCAGCGTCTTGAAGCTCAGCGCAACGACCTCAATGGCCGAGGTTTTTACTTCCTCATTTGAACTGTACATAGTATCATAATTATGCCCTTTTTTTCTTATTACCCTAAAATGTTGAATTGACGCGTTTATTTTGTGAATATCGGTTGATTTAAGCTAGTATAGTCCATTGACGATATTATTATTATTATTATTATTATTTTTTGGGGGACGGATTTCTTGTTAACTGGGAGGTGGTCGTTTCGTAAATTTTATTATCATCTCGTTAGTACTGGCCCTTAGAGCAGGGATTTTTCTTTATGAAATAGTTAAATTCAGCTGAGGTTACGTCAATGAAGCGTTTAAATAGTTTAAAATGGACAGGCAAGATATTTTTCCTTACTTGGAACAAATGGACAAGGAAGTATTTATATTTTTCATTTATCATATATATTCAAGAATTGGATGTTATCTCAAATCAAATTCTGTGAAATTGAACTTATGTCTTCTGTACATAGTACTTGGAATTCTGAAACAGATTTTTTTCTTGCAATTTTGAGGTCCACTGGGCTCTATTCAAGTGCCAAAATTTTTATCCAATGTTATAATTTGTGCTGTACATTTCTGTGGCTAGATTAGGCATTATGTGTTTTCTTTATACATTTTTGTAAATAGGAAAGCAGTTGCTTTTTGCTTGCATCTTAGTCACTGGTAGGGTCAAGGATGTGGACTCAACTTAAGATTACCAAGACGAAGATGGTTTGAGTTTAAGAACCTTGTTTTTGATTTTAATCTAACATGTGTACTGGATTTGTTTTGGGACAATTCCTTGACGAACAGTGAGATCACTGAAGGAGGAACTGCAGCTTCTTCAGGAGCCTGGATCATATGTTGGGGAAGTTGTCAAAGTTATGGGAAAATCAAAGGTCTTGGTCAAGGTCAGTGATAATTATTGCTGTTAAGCTGAGTGCTTGTTCTTTTTAATGATTGGGGAATAAATGATATTGTATGGTGGCGACCTTTTTCTTTTTCTGTCTATGAAGGGGATCAAAGAATTTCACCCCTCTCCCATTTTCGTTGAGTATTAACATATAGGTCTATCTATTGTTAAGTCTTTTGAATTAATTCCCTTTGTTAGGCTGTGTCAGCTTGTAATCTTTGTCTCAAATCTATTATTGCACACACTATGTTGGGATTTTGCATGAATTTTTCTTTTCTTTTCCGAGAGTAGACTGACAATTATAGGTGAAATTTTGTGCTTTCTTCTGCTTAGGTCCATCCTGAAGGAAAATATGTTGTTGATATTGACAAGAACATTGATATCACTAAGATTACACCCTCGATGAGGGTTGCTTTACGCAATGACAGCTATGTTCTCCACTTAATCTTGCCTAGTAAAGTCGATCCATTGGTGAACCTCATGAAAGTTGAAAAAGTTCCAGACTCTACTTATGACATGATTGGTGGTCTTGATCAGCAAATTAAAGAGATAAAGGAGGTGCGTATCTTTAATTTTTTTATTGGTTGCTTTGATTTAATATTTCTTAAATTTAGGCATATTCAAAAGTAAAAAGATTTTCCCATCCATGCTGTTTTGGCATCTGCAATCTCGACTTGTTCTTTTCTCTTTAAAAAATAGAAATAATTAAATAGATTGCTCATTCATAATCTCTTTGTATTACATATTTTCATGGTCCAAGTGTATCTTTTACTGTTAAGTGAAATAAACTTTCCAAGTGCTAAGGCCCTGTTCTCTTTACCGTTTTCGGGTCGTTTTCTGTTTTCGATTTTTCAAAACGGTGAAAACGTGTTCTCTTTCCCGTTTTCGAAAACGAATTTTCGAAAACGTTTTCGAAAACGAAAAAAATTTGTGAAGAAAACACAAAACGACTTTTTTGTCGTTTTGGGCGTTTTCAGTGTAAAACTTGAAAAAATTGAAAACACGAGAAATGGTTCCAAAATGGCAAAAAAATACATTTTCAGTAATTTCAAAACAGACACTCAAAACAGAAAATCCAAAATGAATTCAAAATTCAAAACTATAAAATTGAAACACGAAAAGAACAGCCTCTAACATTTGAACATGCCCAACAAGTGAAGCAATAAGACATTAGATAATTTTAGTTTAAAGAATAGAAAGTACTATATTTTTTTTTTGGTGTTTTGAGGTGGTGTTGTGGTGATTCTCAAAATTTTAAAAAAAAAATTATTTTTTTTTGTTTTGAGAAACTAAAAAAAAGAACGCATTTTCAAGAATTTCAAAACAAAAACTCAAAATACAAAACTCAAAATGAATTCAAAACTCAAAACACAAAACTGAAACACAAAGAGAACACCCCCTAATTTTCTAGCCGTTTCAGTGTATTTAACATATTTTTGAAGTTCACTTTAGATGCTTCATTATATTTTTAAAGCTTTCCAATGTCCAACTGGAGAGAATAGCATTAGCACAAGATAATAATTTGATCAATTACATTCTTCATCTGCCTTATCCACAATCCTGATTGGAATGCTGCATTTGAACCTTTTGTTCTCTATTCTCTATCTCATCTACTGGAATGAAGTCTATCTCCTCATTTTTCCAATTTGCAAACGTGTATTCTTTTCAGTCAAATTGATACAGACGGTCAAGAAGCTTCCCACAGATTACTTTAGTCAATATAATCGCTAATCCTTTTTTTTTTTTTTAAGCTGTAAATCTTATTTACCTTTACTGCCTTTGTACCTCGGTTTTGTTTTCTTAACTAAGATTCTATTCTTTGAAACAGAAGGCTGGCCAACCTATAGGCAGTAGCAATATTAGAATTTTGATAGAAAAATAAATGAAAATATAAGTCGACAAATGGAGGTGTCAGTCAAATATATATTAAGGGAATGATGTTTGTGATGTTTTTGACGTGCATAGACTTAAAGAAGTTTCTTCCATAAGAGGGATGAGATTATAGGAATATACTAAAATGATCAGGTGTGGTTGCTAATGATTTGATTTCTTCGAATTTTTTGGTGGATGTATCAATGAATGGAGTGTTCAAAAGGAATTCATGCAGTTGATTTCAAATTAATAACACTTGCTCTTTTTTGTTGTTGCAAATCTAAGGAAGAAGATATTAAAGTTTATGCCCTTGTTTGAGCTCCATTTTTTCAGATTATAATGAAAGGAATAGTAATTTATTTGAAAAATCTGAGGTTAAAAAGAAAGGAATTTTTTTTAGATTTACGTGTAATATTATTTTATTGGAGAGTGTATGGTTGATAAGAAGAGAGAGAAAAATGAATTTTAATTTAATGGGGCCAAACAAGGGCTATAATAGTATTTTTGCTCAGGTCAAGTTATGGAAATCTTTAGGTTGAAACTGAATATGATAACATAAATTGCTCTGAAATATCACCAAAAGGGCGTCTGATGTATATTAAAAAGTTCTTGTAAATAAATACGTTTTCGAGTAAAAGCAACCATGACATGATGACACCAACACTTATCCTCCTTTTTTACGTGGTTTCTTTATTGTTGACTTGCATCTTCTTTTTGGCGTGGTAGTTGTGACCTATAAGTTTCTTACAACATTAAATTTGTGTTTATTCCTAGTATTTCAAGCTGTCTTTTCAGTGGATGTAGGGAGTTTTGCAATTGCTACTTTTTAAAGTTTTGCCATAATTTAATGCCTTCATGTATTATCACTTGATGTATGCTAAAGTTATCGTTTCTAATTAGTCCCCTACTCTCATATTTTTTTTTACAGGTGATTGAACTTCCAATAAAACATCCAGAATTGTTTGAGAGTCTTGGAATTGCCCAACCCAAGGTAATTATCGTCAATAATCAGGTAAAAATCATTTCATTATATTTTGGAAGCCTTATCTAATGGCTTCATTGCTTTTTATTGTTGAAGGGAGTCTTGCTCTACGGGCCTCCAGGAACAGGTAAAACACTGCTTGCAAGGGCTGTGGCTCACCACACTGACTGCACTTTTATTCGAGTTTCGGGCTCTGAATTAGTCCAGAAGTACATTGGAGAAGGCTCAAGGATGGTTAGAGAACTTTTTGTAATGGCCAGGTTAGTTCTTTTTGCCTCTAGCATTGTTTATGTATTATTTTTTCCAAATGCATGCTCCTTTTCCCTTTCAGCCTTTTTTGTTTTTCACTTTTCAACTGTGTGCACTTATCTTTTGACAGAGAGCATGCTCCATCAATCATCTTTATGGATGAAATTGATAGCATAGGATCTGCTCGCATGGAATCTGGAAGTGGCAACGGGGATAGTGAGGTTCAGAGAACTATGCTGGAGCTTCTCAATCAGCTGGATGGATTTGAAGCATCTAACAAGATAAAAGTATGTTTTTTGCCAACTTCATATATAACCTTTAACTTCCTTTTTGACTTGCTCTGAGTTTTAAATTGGTTATGTTTGTTCATAAAATGCTAAAGGAGATAATCTTTATGTATAACTGATATGTACAGGTGTTGATGGCAACCAATAGAATTGACATTCTGGACCAAGCTCTTCTCAGGCCTGGAAGAATAGATAGGAAAATTGAGTTCCCAAATCCCAATGAAGAGGTACACATCACATGCAATATGATCCACTTAGTAAATCTTGTGTATAATGACTACCTTAAATTTTTCTAATATATTATACTAGTTAATATGAGCAAACAGAGATCAGCGCGACGTTAACTTTTTTTCTGGTTAATTTTCATCTCAGTAATATATTTCGGCTCTGATATAGTGATTTTACCCATTTGATTTTTGCATCTAATCGTGGACAATCAATTACAGTCTCGGTTTGACATCTTGAAGATACACTCGAGGAAAATGAATTTGATGAGGGGGATTGATCTGAAGAAGATTGCTGAGAAAATGAATGGTGCGTCTGGTGCAGAACTTAAGGTATGTTTGGGATTTTTAGTTACATTGGCCAGTTAGAAAGCATTAATTTCTTGAAATTATGGATTTGCTACTACCAACTTGTATATACATGTTCACGTTGACTTGCAACTTCATATGTGAATGATTGACCCTTGTGCTGTTAAAGTTTTAACTTCTCTTTGAAGAATTTTTTGTTTCTGAATGTTTAGTTGCTCTTATTTGTTGACGTGCACTGTAGAGGCAATATTTCTACAATATATTTCCTACGCCTTGATGGTACTAGGGATTGGAATATCCATGTTTATGTGGGGGTCTTATTGTTTATTGACCCAAGTGTAATGAGAACCTTTTCCTCAATTGCATCAAGACAAATCAATTATAATGAATGCGAGCTCATGCAAGTAAATTAACCGTGCTTTAGCTACTTATACTAGTATCTGTCTTAATTGAAATTTGTATTTGTTAGTTATTTCATTGGACAAAATTTGGGAAATTATTTTTTAAATATGTAATTTACTTCGTGTCTGATAATTATTCCCATTCAGTCATTTCAGTTGGATGATTACGAAAGTGGACAGTAGAACCCTTCCTTTGAAAATGACCTCTGATAATAAAATTGAGTTGCTGTCTTTAGATGCTTGATGGGAAAAAGGAGCAAAGCCTATTTTTTTACGAAGATTTGATCTTCTATGTGCTGATATTTGTGAACCTACAAAGCTTGTTTCTTATTAATCCTATGATTCTTATCTATCTAGAAAAAGCTCAAATTTAAGCACGTCGACTCATGGCTTAATTTAATTGTTTAGAAATCTGTTATATACTGGTTGCCATTGGAGTCAGATGTAGCGGAATTGACATATTGAAGT